GGTGGTGAGTTTTGCATGGGCAGGCACCACTTACATTTTCTTCAGAAAATTTACAAATCTAATTTTCCTTACATCCTCTAAATATTGCATGTGAACATTTGGGGATGCATATGGAACTGTAGCTCATGCCCATCTCTTTGATTGTTCTTTTGTTTTTTTTTCTGTAAGTAAATGCTTGGGAGCTCTTTGCTGTCTTTAAGCGTCTCAGGATGCTGTCTCAGCAGTATCACTGTGTAGGTGGAGGCAGATATAATAAAGCAGCACTGTGATTAGCATTCTTTGTATCTCTCTTTCCCTTTAAACTCGCCTTCTCCTTCCTTCTTTTGTTCTTTTCTCTCACCCTCTCATTCGTTTTCTCTCTCCACCTTTGATGTGCCAGTTCCTTCAGTGATACCCTGGCCTAACACAGGCAAATCCAGGGCAGCAGGCCAACGGTAAACAGCAGCATTGTACCCACATCAATATGACAAGGCAGTTATTTGTTTACCAGCCTGGAGTTAAGCACAGCAAGGCTGGTTAAGTGTATCACAGGAGACCCTTATAGCCAAATGAGGCGACAGCATTTTATGCTGTAAGAAATCCTCCTTTTTTCCTTCCTGTCTCTTGAAAATGGTGTCACTCGCATCTATTTATGTAATTACCCCCAAGCAGTGTTTGCTAAAGCACAATCCAGCCTCCCCAGAGTTAAACAACCAACGGTAGTATGTTTTGTTTTTGTTGTTGTTGCACACTATTTTACAATTTGCACAGAGTACATTTACAATCTTAAAGGGGTATTTCCCCCCAAAATGAATATTCTTTCATCATTTACTCTCCATCATGTCGTTCCAAACATTTATGGCTTTCTTTCCTTGTGAAACACAAATTTAGCTAATGTCTGCATGTTCAAACTTGGTACATTGTGATTTATTTGAAGACACAATAATTGATGTCAAACCTGGAGCAACGCATCTCCCTGTCTAATGCTTCAGAAGACTTGGAATGAGATAATTTGGTGCGAATGCTTGGTGCTGCTTTTGAATCAACCCTCTATGGACAACTTGGCAAGTGAATCGCCATTGTCTAGTACATTGCTGCTTTTGAATCAACCCTCTATGGACAACTTGGCAATTGAATCGCCATTGTCTAGTACATTTTTTTGTTTACTCGCCAGACTGAAATGCTATACTATACTATATATATATATATATATATATATATATATATATATATATATATTAAGCTGTGCCATTTTACAAACATTAAAAACGTAATTTTTTTCTGGACTCCTTTTTAATGGTTAAATAAAATTTTATTAATCAAAAAGCATGTCTAATTAATTAAAATCATGAAACTTAAACTTGTAATAAATTTATATTAAATTGTTTAACAAATATTACGTTTAGTGTTCTATGAAATGTTTTATTTTTTCCAACCTTATGTTTTATTGTTACCAAATTCTGTCTTAGCAGGTCTAATTATTTGAAAGCATAAAAAGAAGTTTCATTTATTCTTATAATAGCCTTATGATTTTTTTGCTCAGAAATTCTGTGTTGTGTATTTAAAAATTTTTAAAGGCATAAAACATTAATTTAATATATCTTTTAAGTAATGAAAATTAAACACATTTTATTTTTTGGAAAATAAAGGTCATTTAATATTACAATTAAAACATTGAAGGAATATTGTATGATTATTCCTTAAAAATAAGGTTTTAATAATTTTAGTAGTAGTAGCAGCCTGTTACGTACATTCTACTGAACAATAGTAGTATATTTCTGCCAATGCCTACAAGTTAAACCGAACTTTTATTTTGACAGGTTGCCGTGAATACCTTTACATTTCTGTGTGGATATGAGGATAGTTTTACTCAAATGAAACGATCAAATGCTCATGAACTGACTCTCAGAGCAGTTCTGGAGATGTTGTTCATGTATTTATGTCCTCATTTAGTGGGATGGCAGATGCTAAAATCACCGCAAGCGTCACGCGCGCTTCAGTACAAGTGGTAAACAAAACCGTACATCTGCGCCATTCATTGACACAGAGACACGCAGAATTCATATTTAAATATTAATCGTTTTGCAGCTTAATATTTACAAATACTAGTATTTACAAATACTAGTGTGTATGTGTGTGTGTGCACGCCTGTGCGTGATACAGAGAGCGCAACCATAACGTAGAGACCGAAATGGCATGCCGTCGTGTAAATAAGATAACATGAGCCTATTTAGTTTGCTTAATAAAAGAACAAGGTATAGACCTGTTCTATAGGAAAGGTAACTTTAAATTACTTCTGTTGTGATCTGGCGCTATAGAGAAAATATAATTAAATAAAATTAACTTGACCTTCAAGGGGGGGCGGGCCGGGCCACCCCCTAATATAATGGCAGGGGAAACACTTTTATATACACTGAACAAAATTATAAATGCAACACTTTTGTTTTTGCCCCCATTTTTCATGAGCTGAACTCAAAGATCTAAGACTTTTTCTATGTACACAAAAGGCCTATTTCTCTCAAATATTGTTCACAAATCTGTCTAAATCTGTCTTAGTGAGCACTTCTCCTTTGCCGAGATAATCCATCCACCTCACAGGTGTGGCATATCAAGATGCTGATTAGACAGCATGATTATTGCACAGGTGTGCCTTAGGCTGGGCACAATAAAAGGCCACTCTAAAATGTGCAGTTTTACTGTATTGAGGGGTCCGGGCGGTCTGAAAACCAGTCAGTATCTGGTGTGACTAGCTTTTGCCTCACGTAGTGCAACACATCTCCTTCGCCTAGAGTTGATCAGGTTGTTGATTGTGGCCTGTGGAATGTTGGTCCAC